AGAGTACCTGAGTTTGGCCTCCCTTAGAGTCTTGCTAACGTAGAAGATGGCATGTTTGATGCCGTCTTCCTCCCGGATGAGCACAGAGCTGATGGCCGCCGGGCTGACCCCAAGGTAGAGATAGAGGGTTTCCCCTACCTTTGGTTTGGATAGCACATGGGGTGAAGATAGATACCGTTTGAGCTCGTCGAAAGCCCCTTGGCATTCCGGAGTCCATAGAAAGCCAGCCGTCTTCCTCATGATTTGGAAGAAGGGTAAAGACTTCTCCGCTGATTTAGATAGAAAGCGGTTGAGGGCCGCCAGGCGGCCCGTCAACCGTTGTACTTCCTTCACATTGCGTGGGGGCTCCATGTCGATGATGGCCTGGATCTTCTCGGGATTGGCCTCAATACCCCTTCGTCTCACCATGTAGCCCAAGAATTTGCCCCCTTGGACGCCGAAGGTGCACTTCTTCGGGTTTAGCCGAAGGTTGAACTTCTGCATGATGGCGAAGATTTCCCGGAGGTCGTCAGCATGGCTGGAAGATTGCTTGCTCTTGACGATCATGTCGTCAACATAGGCCTCCATGGTGCGCCCTAGGACGGCTTGAAAGACCCGGGCCACCATCCGGGTGTAGGTGGCCCCTGAGTTCTTTAGGCCGAAGGCCATTACTAGGTAGCAGAAGATTCCCTCGGGAGTCATGAAGGCAGTTTTTTCGGCGTCCTCCTCGTGCATGAAAATTTGGTGATACCCTCGGAAGGCATCGAGGAAGGACATGATTTCACACCCTGCGGTCTCATCCACCAGTTGATCAATATTTGGTAGAGGGAATGGATCCATAGGGCACGCTTTGTTGAGATCGGTGTAGTCCACGCACATGCGGAAGGTAGGGGGCTTCTGTGCGAGGACCACATTCGCTAGCCATGAGGGATATTTCACCTCCTTGATGTGCTTAATGGAAAGGAGCATGGCGACTTCCTTCTTCACAAATTCCCTCCTCTCGGCGGAGAGGGGTCTTCTTCGTTGTTGTACTGTTTTTGCCGAGGGGTCCACCGAGAGGCGGTGGGTGATGACCCTTCGGCTGATTCCCGGCATGTCCTCCGGCCCCCATGCAAAGACAGTGGAGTAGGCGCGGAGGGCGTTGGTGATACCGGTCTTGAGATCTTCAGGGAGCTGGGCTCCAATCTTCACGACTCTCTCCGGCTGGGCCGGATCGAGCGCAAAGTCTTCTACGTCCTCGGCCGGTTCAGCCCTCGGCCTTTTTTCCTCTTGGTCGATGGCCCCGGTGATGGTGTCAACACGGAATTCCGTCTTACTTACCTTCTTAGTGACTTGAAGATAGCAGGCGCGGGCAATTTTCTGATTCCCCCGGGAGTAGCCAATGCCCCCTCGGCGGGAAACTTGAGGCAGAGGTGCCTCATGGAGATGATGGCTTCGAGGTCCTCGAGGGCTGGCCGGCCGAGGATGATGTTGTGGGCGCAGTCGATGTTGACGACGACGAACTCCACTTCGAGCTGGGCTCTGTGGAGCCCGTCGCCGAAGATCACCGGGAGGGTTATTACCCCCTCGGAATCAATAGTATCGCCGGTGAAGCCGGCAAGAGGGGTCTTAATGGGCCGAAGGGACCCCCTCTCCAGATGCAGCTCTCTGAAGGTGCTGAGGTACATTACATTGACGGAGCTGCCCGTGTCAATGTAAGTCCGGTGAATAATGGTGTCGTTTATTTCGGTCCGAATCACCAAGGCATCCCTGTGAGGAGAAGAAGTAGGAGGGAGATCTGCTTTGGTGAAGGTGATGGGTTCCTCCCTCAGTCGCTTTACCGGGGGCATATGAGTGACTTCCCCTACGTAAAGCGATCGAGCCCACTTCTTTCGCTGGCTGGTGGAATCGCCCCCTGTATTGCCACCGGTGATCATGAGGATGTGGCGTTTCTTCTCCTGGTAGTGGGGGTACTCCTCCTCTTCCTCCTCCAAGTTTCCGATCTCCCTCTTCTTGCCGAGGGGGATGGTGTTCGGGTTTACCCAAGCGTTCACCTTCGTGTGGTGCCCTCGGGGAGGTCCCTGATGAGAAGGCCCCTCCTTCCGAGGGCTCTGAACAAATTGGGACAGGTTCCCCGCCTGTATTAACCTTTCGATGGCCGTCTTTAGCTGATGGCAGTCATCGGTCCTGTGCCCCTGGTGCCGATGGAAGCGACAGTATGGGAACTGAGGGTTGATAGCATGTACCTCCGGGGGTGCGCGGGAATCGCGCTCGACGAGGCCCCTCTCCTCGGAAAAATCAAGGATGGTGCTGACGGGGTGCGTCAATGGCGTCCGAGGGCGGTCCAGGAGTATGGGCTGTGCCCAAGTCTTGGGGTTGCTCTTATAACCTCCCCCGGGCTTGGCTTGGCCTTGCCGAGGGCGGTCATCAGAGGGTCCTGAAGCCTTGGGATGATTGGGAGGAGCCCCCAGCCCTCGGTTATGCTTGTTGTCAGCCCTCGGGGGCTGCTGGTCTGGATGCTGGTGATACTTCTCCACCTCCTCGGCCTCAACATATCGGTCCCCCCGTTGCAAAGCCCTTATGTAATCGCAGGGGGGTTCAATGATGAGGCTCCTTGAAAAGTTGCCAGTGCGGAGGACGGTTTGTAGGAGGGCCAGGAGGGTCCCGTCATCAGCACCGTCGACCTTGTCGGCCTCCGTCCTCCAGCGCTCCAGGAAGTCCCGAAGGGTCTCATCCCTCTTTTGGCGTATTGTTAGGAGGTGGGAGAAGTGCTTCCTTGTGCGGCGCCTCCCGGCAAATTGTGTCAAGAATCGCTGGGCGAGTTCTTGCCATGAATCAATGCAGCCCTCGGGCAGCCTGTTGAACCATTCGTATGCCGGCCCCTCTAAGGTGGAGAGGAACCAACGACACAAATATTCGTCTGACGCCCCTACCATCATCATGCTGTTCTGGTATTTGCTGTAGTGTTCCTGGGGGTCCGTTTTTCCGTTGTAGGGCTGTATGTGTTGCCCTCGGTATTTTTCCGGGATCCGGGCCGCCAATACCCTTGGGGTAAATGGCGTCCGAGTCCGGAGCTGGATGACGGGTTCCCCGGAGCCCTCGGCCACCTTCTTCTGTAATTCCTCCATTTTGGCCATCATGACCTCGTATTTTAGGTCTGAGTGAGGGGTGGAAGTGGTGGCGTGAGCTTTGTTGGACTCCATCTCGTCAAGCCGGCGTTGGAGGGCCGCAATAATTTCGTCCCGGGGATCCTTCGGGAGGGTCTCCGCCCCCTGCGAACGAACCCGGGCCGAGTGGGCCTGGTTGATCTGGTGGCGAGCATCATTGGCATGAAGGGGTGCCTTGCCTTTGTCCCGAGGGGGACGCTCCTCGTCTGCCCTCGAGACAGATCCTCCGCTTTCCTGGGGCCTTTGGAGTGCCTTCCCCCCGAGGCGGTCTTGGACCCCTCGACGGTCTGGCCCTCCTCCGAGCCGGTTGAGGGCGGAAGTACGGGGCCTCTCCCTGTCGTCATTATGGCGGTCCTGGGACTGAAATTCCTGGGAGGACGTATCTTGGGCCACTATCCCTTCGTGGTTCCTAACCCGGTGGGTGGGGTTCCCGAAGGGATGTGGCGGAGGGGGAAGTAAGATGTTCTCCCCAACCTGGGGTTGAGCCGGAGCCAGGGTGCCGAAGGCACCCGGGTTCTGAGTGAGCGTCTGGATGAAGGCGGAGAGCGCCGATTGTACGTCGATGGTAAGAACCGGAGGGCTGACTTGGTCATCGCTCCGGTTTTTCTTCTTGGCCTCGATGCCGAGGCGGGCATCGGGGGCATTTTGTTGGATCTGAAGGCGTAGGTCGACAGCCGCCTGTTCCAGCCCAGCGATGACACCGCCCTCGGGAGCCCTGTGAGAGGCTTCGGGGGCGTTGACGTCGCCGAGGGCCAGGTTCTTGTCTTCTACGTTTTTGGAGTTGGCACGTGTTGTTCTCACCATTTTGGTAGAGGGCTAGTGTTTGGTGAAGGGGGAGGGTTTCTTACTTGATTGTTCGACCTCTCAACGAGAGCACCAAATGATGGATGGTCTACCCGGGGGTATATATCCGAAGGGTTATTGCTGGGAATAACTTAGAGAGAAGTCAGAGCAAGTAAATGTAGAGAGAAAGAGCGTATTATATATGTGGAGCGTTTTTAGCGTGGTTACAAATGGGGAAATGGGGTGCTATTTATAGCAGCAATAAATGCCGGGCAGGGACACGTGTCAAGCGCCTATTGGCCGAGGGGTCACCTCAACTGGTTGGCGTTGGCAGCCGCATGTGGCCACATTTAATGCGGCTGTTGGATGGGACGTCTGTACAGGGTACGGTGATCTGTACGCATGTGAGGCGGATATCATGTCGGGAGAGGTGCCCTCGGTTGTAGAGGACTAGCCGAGGGCTCTTAGTGCCGAGGACCCTTGAGTGCCGAGGGCTCTAGGTGCCGAGGGCTACTGTTTTCGCCGTTTTCTCCCAGTTTCTTAGTTTGCCTGGAAAACCCATTCTGTGAGAGTTTAGAGCCTTCGGCCAGGGGGCCGAGGGCACCCCTGGTGCGTATTGCGGGCTGCTTGGTACTCTGGGCGCCGTGATTTGGGCCTGGTGGGCCTCCTGGGCCTGTTGGGCCTTCATTGGTGTAGTAGGAGTCTGTGGGCCGGGTGTTCCCGGGCCATATACTCCATCAGCAACTATGTTTTCCCGTTTCATCAAGTGGTTAAATCGACAATGATGTCAGTATCAAACGGTACTAATCGCGGAAAACACGTAAAGAACAGTTGTAAAATTGTGATGTTTTTGTACTTGACTTTGATGAAAACTCTTATTCCTATAATGTTTATTTTTGTCTTTGATTTTGATGTTACAATAGATTTTTTTTATTTTAATTTTGGCCCACCCTCAATGCGAAAGCTAGATCCGCCCCTGCGTGTACACCCAAAACGTGTATACCAAGAAACGGTCCAAATAAATTACATAAGTTTAGTTGAATATGGAGAGTCTCGTTATTTTTTAAGTTATGAGGCCTATCTTAACAGTAAGCCCACATATGGGCTGAAGCCCAAACTCTAATTCTTCTTACAATTCTTCCAGGAGTATACCAATACTCTCTTTCTGACTCTCGCTTTGGCTGTGTTTCGTTTCCACGCCCGACGGCTGCTCCTATTCAGGTTCTTCCACCTCTAGAGTCATATCTATTCTTTGCTGCTTCAACTCACTTCTTTTATAAGCAATTGTCTTTTATTATTCGGCTGTAAATATCAGTTTTTTTAGTAAATCTGTTTATGTTTTTTATTATTCGGCTGTAAATAGCAGTTTTTTAGTAAATCTGTTTTTGTTTTTTATTATTTGGCTGCTCCTATTCAGGTTCTTCTACCCTGATTAACAATGTAAGTTTCTGCAAATAAATGTTAAGGTGATAGCACAAGCAGAATTCAAGACATTTAGAGCTCGTTTGGTGGGGTCTTTTCTTAAAATACGGGAAATGCCAGCACTGAAGGCAAAATTCTCTTTTTTTTTTTCTAAAATCGTTGTAACTTTTTTATTTGTAATTTATTTTTTTATAAAAACTTTTAATAACCTTTCATATGACACCGGTATTTCATATATAAAGCAGTTTTGGACAAAATAAAATTTCAACAGCAAGAAGAATGTAGTTCTAATTTCATTTTTAAAAAAAACTTTGTATATGTGATATTGATGACATATGAAAAATCATAAAAAAATATGAATTTGATATATTTCTTTAAAAAAATTGGAATATAGATAAAAAAGTTACCCCAACTTGGAAAAAATAGGATTTTATATTTATTTTTGCCCCGCTACTCACTTCCCTTATTTTGAGTATTTTGATGCTCCTAGGGGTGGGATTTTAGATACATTAGGGAAAGGACCCGTGTTTTAAGAATTTCCTCCGTTTGGTGCTCCTAGCCTCTTAGGGCCTAGGGGTGGAACTTTAGAAAGAAACCTAGAACAGAATCAAACCATTATAATTCGATTCGATTCCTACAAAAAATATGTACACGAAACCATTAAGGAACCATTATTAAAAAATATAAATAAAAAATAAAAATAAAAATAATAGCAGTAGTGAAAGTAATAACTATAATTTTAACAATAACAATAGTAGTGCAATCAATGATATTTAGCTAAAAATTCTCATGGTATAACGACATGGTTATTAAGAAAATATTTAAATAAGGTAATTCGAGTATATTTTGAATTATAGAAATAAAATATAAAGTAATAAAATAGCAATAAAGTACTGATTCATATGAAATTATATAGAAATATTTCCATTATTATTACTTTTTGAAATGTGATGGACAAAAATATTACTGATTAACTATTAGTGATATAGTTGTATTCAAATTCAAATCTTAGTAATTACATGTAAGTTACTATGATGTAAAGTTTAAAGATAATTGATGGAGTATATGGGTCTGAGCCCCTGGACCCACATACTCGGAAGAACAGAAAGCACAAAACACAGAGTGGCGCCCTCGTCGGCCAAGACGCCCCCGTCGGCCGAAAAGGGGCCAACTCAGATTATGGTCCTGAGCCCAAGGAACTCGGGTGCCCCCGTCGGCCATGCCCTCGTCGGCCATGCCCTCGTCGGCCACGCCCTCGTCGGCCACGAGGACCTCCCAGAACCGGATTTTATACTTATTCATTTGTACAGCCCATTAGTGGCTTTGTATTCGGCCCAGTAGCGGTCCAGTTGTAAATGGGCCTCCCAAGCCCAAGGCTTGGGAGCCCAGCCCGTATTTTCTCTATAAATACTCCCCTTGGGAGTAGTTGTGGGGGTTCAGAATTCATTAATATCAAGCAAATATATTACTTCTCTCTCTAGCTCTCACTTCTCTCTAGAGATATACTCTATCATTTGGTGCTCTCGTTGAGAGCTAGAACAATCAAGTTAGCACCCTTCGTCGCTACCAAGCACAGCTAGCCACTGATCATGGGGAGAACTAAGTCAAACCGCAACCTCGTCAGCAAAGTCATCCCTGAGGACCAAGAGCCCAGGGAGCACGATGAGGACGCCACGGCCGACCAGGTTGGCGGAGGGGACCTCTTCCAGGAGGCCTTCAACCTCACGACGGATCTCCGTAACCAACTCGACGGCGGAGTCCCCGACGCCCGCCTCGGCCTGGAAAAGAAACGAGCTGAGAAAGCGGACCACGCCCCGGCCCAGCCTATGGCCGCGGCCTCTCCGTCCGTAGATCCTCAGGTCCAGGCCGCACTATCGGCTATCATCGCCAGCTTGGCTCAGAATCCCACCGTCCTCAGCGCACTCTTGCCAAGGACCGGGGGAAACGTCACCCCACCTCCTCATCCCCAACCGTTGGCCGTCCAGATAGGCAACAATGAGGGGGTTGTGGCCCAGGACACGGCGTCGTCCCATTCCCACCCTGCTTCCCCTCTTCGGCCCGGGCAGACCCCAACGCGTGGAAAAGCCTCTGCCTTCAATAGGCTAGGTGACACGCGTCGTCGTCCGGTTTCGGAGAGGATGGCGGGACGGATTGGTGATCCTCGTCCTGGCTCGCCAAGAGAAAGCTTGGGGTCTGTGTCCCGGACAGCGGACCAGCCCCGCCCGGACAAAGGAAAGGGGAAGTTGCACGAGGATGACGTGCGCCACCTGATCAACGCGGCTCACAACGAGCGCCTGAGGAACCAGCCGGGTGTCGCCGCGGCCGACAGAGACCCCCGGGACGAGGTCATTGCCCAGCTGGAAAGGAGGTTGGCTCAGATGGAGGCCAAGCAGTCGGCCAACATCCCTACGGTCGGCGCTTCCAACGACCCCGGCCTCAACGCGCTCATGAACAAAGTCAGCGCCCTGGAGAGGGAGCTGGCCGAAGGGCGGGGTGACCCCATCATCCAGGTCAGGACTAGGACCCCTTTCACCAACAGGGTCCTCTCGGCCCCCATCCCTGAGAAGTACAGGGGGAACGCCATCAAGTCCTACGATGGCCGATCAGACCCCCAGGAGCACTTCAGCCGCTATCAAAACAACATGCTGATGGTAAACGCGTCCGACGAATACCTCTGCCGTTGGTTCCTCTCTACTCTCGAGGGGCCAGCGTACGAGTGGTTCAACGGACTGCCAGAGGGAAGCATTGACTCATGGCAAGATCTCGCCCAGCGCTTCCTCACTCACTTTGCCGGGAGGAAACGCGCCAAGAAGTATTTCACCCACCTCCTCTCCGTCAAACAGCAGCACGAGGAGTCCCTCCGGTCATTCATCGACCGGTGGACGAGGGAGACCGAGGAGGTCGAGGGGGCCGATGAGCGCACCCTCCTCGCCTTGTACCAGGGAGCCCTCCGCAGCTCCCCGTACGCCAGGAGCCTCATCACCGACCCCCCGAGGTCGTACACCAAGGCGCTCCAGCGCGGAGGCTTGTATGCCGACGCCGACGAGCTCCACAATCACAAAAGAGAAGGGGGCCATCCCCCCAAGAAGACAAATCCTTCGCCGGCCCCGGGTCCGTCCCCGGCCGGCCAGAGTGCCCAGGGCCGCCACGGCCCTGGTGGACAAAGTAAGAAAGACCGCCACTGGCGGCCGAGGCTGGAACGGCCGGGGGTAGCCCTCACCCACCCGGTCGGCACCATCCTCGATTATGCCGAGAAGCACGGCCTCATCGAGCAGGCTCCTCGGCCGGCCGAGGAGATCCTGGCCATCCAGCAGGGCGACACGTACTGCCGGTTCCACAAGAACTCGTCGCACAACACCGACGATTGCATCACATTGAAGAAGGCCATCGAGCGTCTTATTCGCCAGGGGGAACTCTCCCAGTTTGTCAAAGGTGGCCCACGTAAAAACACTTGGGTAAACACCGACAAACGTGGGGGCGAACCCTCTGCGAAGAAGCGCGAGATTGGTAGGCTCAGCGACGACGAGGACTTCGAGGAGCCTCCGCCGAAGAAGAATCACATCCACCTCATCGTAGGCGGGAACACTGGGGGGGACTCCGCCACTCAGAGGAAGAAATGGGCCCAATCCCTTTACATTGGAGAGGTGTCCCACGTTCCCCCCCAGCCGAAGAAGCAGCGAACGGAGGCGATCACCTTCACCGACAAGGATCTGCCTCCGGGTACGGAGTCACACAGGGACGCCCTCGTCATCCGATGTGAGATCGGTGACTCCATCATCCACCGCACTTACATCGATACGGGGAGCTCCGTCAACGTGATGTACCTAGACACCTTCAAGCAGCTGAAGCTGGACAGAGCTCTGCTGAAGCCGATCAAGACCCCGTTATCCGGCTTCACCGGGGACTCTATCGACGTCGAGGGCACGATAGTCCTCCCCGTGGAAGTCGGTGACGGCCCCCACCATGCCAAAATTGACATGGAGTTCATGGTGGTCAACCTCCAGTGCGCCCACAACCTGATCTTGGGCCGGCCAACGCTGGAGGACTTGGAGGCCATCATCTCCATGAAGCACCTATGCTTGAAGTTTCCCACCAATGACGGCATCGGCTACGCCAGAGGAAACCAGAGGATAGCCAGAGCTTGTTACCTCAAGCTGACGAGGCCGGCCGAAAGGGAAGGACAGCGGATAGACACCATCACGGCCGCCGTCGCCATGGACGAGGAGAGGCCACATGCGGAGCCGGCCGAGGAGGTCGAGGAAATCCCTCTGGATACCTCCCGGCCGGAGCGGGTTCTCAGGGTCGGAAAGCAACTCCCCCAGGACCAGCGAAACGCCATCCTCCTCGTCCTACGGTCATACGCCGTTGTCTTCGCGTGGGGCCCGGACGATATGCCCAGCATCAGCTGCCGGGTGATCACTCACCGGCTGACCGTCGATCCGGCCTCCGCGCCCGTCAAACAGAAGCGGCGCTACTTGTCCGCTGACAGGCGGGACTTCGTCAAAGGGGAGGTCGCCATGCTCCTATCGATCAAACATATCAAAGAGGTGAAGTACCCAACATGGTTGGCCAACGTCGTCCTCGCACAGAAACCGCCGACGTTCAGAATGTGCGTTGACTACACTGACCTGAACAAGGCGTGCCCCATGGACCCGTTCCCTCTCCCCAACATTGATCAGTTGGTGGACGAGACGGCGGGGTGCGAGTTGATGTCGTTCCTCGACGCTTTCAGAGGGTACCACCAGATCTCCATGCACGAAGATGACTCCGAGAAGACGGCATTCATGACCCCAGAGGGAATATTTTGCTACCTCGTCATGGCCTTCGGACTCAAAAACTCCGGCGCCACCTATACTAGGATGGTGGCCAAAATCTTCAGAGCGGTCCTTGGCCGGACGATGGAGGCGTACGTCGACGACATGATCGTCAAGAGCAGGCAGGCCACCTCCCACGCCGACGACCTCCGGGAAATCTTTGAAATCATGAAGGAGTTCAGGCTCCGCCTTAACCCCAAGAAGTGCGCCTTCGGCGTCCAGGGCGGCAAGTTCCTTGGCTACATGGTCAGCCGGAGAGGCATCGAGATAAACCCGGAGAAGACGCAGGCTATCATCAACATGGAGCCGCCCCGAAACGTCAAGGAGGTACAACGACTGACGGGGCGCCTGGCGGCCTTGAACCGGTTCCTCTCCAGGTCAGCTGAGAGGGCACTTCCCTTCTTCCAGATCATGCGCAAGGCAAACAACTTCAAGTGGACGACGGAGTGCCAGGAAGCATTCGACGAATTGAAAAGGTACCTGTCGTCCCCACCCGTACTCTCCAAGCCCAAAGCCGGCGAAACCCTCTTCTTGTACTTAGGGGTGAGCACGTCGGCCATCAGCTCCGTGCTCATCCGTGAGGACGAAGGGGTGCAGAAGGCCATCTTCTACATCAGCAAGACACTCAGGGAGGCCGAGCTCAGGTACTCCCCCATTGAGAAGACGGTGCTGGCCATCGTCCACACCGTGAAGAAGCTGGGGCACTATTTCCAAGCCCACACCGTCCACGTGCTGACCCAGCAGCCTCTTGGCGCGCTCATGAGGAGCCCCACTAGCTCCTCAAGGATGGTGAAATGGGCGATCTTCCTCAGCCAGTTTCAGATTGAGATCAAGCCAAGGCCATCTATCAAAGGGCAAGCCTTGGCCGACTTCGTCATCGAATGCACGGCAAGGGAGACGGCCGTCGCCAACCCCGGGCCGGAGCCGGACGACACGTGGACCCTGTTCACTGACGGCTCGTCGGCCGCGAAATCATGCGGCGGCGGCGGCGTCCTCATATCCCCTGAAGGATTCAGAGCCTACTATGCCATCCGCTTCAACTTCAGGGTATCCAACAACGAAGCCGAGTATGAGACCCTCCTCAGCGGTCTCAGACTCGCCGCCGGTCTCAAGGCCAAGCACCTCAGAATCAAGTGCGATTCCAAACTGGTAGTGGGCCAGGTGGAGGGATCGTATGAAGCAAAGGAAGGCCAAATGAAGCAGTACAAACAAGCGGCGGAGGAATTGCTGAAAGCGTTTGAAACCCACGAGATCACTCAGATCCCAAGGGCCGAGAACGCCGAAGCCGACATCCTCTCCAAGCTCAGCTCGGACACCCCGGAGCACATCTCCCAGTTGGCCAAGATCGAGGAGTTGAGCATGTCCAGCATCCATGCCAGCCCCGTCTTGTGCGTCCAACAGCGACCAGAGGACTGGATCTCCGACATCGCCACCTTCATCACGACGGGGGAGTTGCCCCCGGACGAGGAGAGGGCCAAACTCGCCAAACTCAGGGCCCCAAGCTACACCATCGAAGATGGCAAACTCTACAAACGGTCCTACAATGGCACTCTCCTCCGATGCCTGCACCAGGATGAGGCCGATACCGCCATGGAAGAAGTTCACTGTGGCGTCTGCTCCTCGCACCAGGGTCCTTTCAGCATGTCCCGGCGTCTCGTCGTCCAGGGCTTCTTCTGGCCGACGATGGCACGGGACTGCGCTGACCTGGCCAGGAAGTGCACCACATGCCAGGTACTCCAGAAGGCCCCTGGTCGGCCAGCTGTCAACTATGCCCCTGTCAGCACCGCAATTCCATTCTCCAGATGGGGGATTGACCTGGTCGGCTCCCTGCCCAGAGCCGCCGAGAATAACCGCTACATCATCGTCGCCGTCGACTACTTCACCAAGTGGGTCGAGGCGGAACCCTTGGCTAGCATCACGGGGGCCAGATGCCAAAGGTTTGTTTACAAAAACATCATCACACGCTTTGGCGTCCCCCAGGAGATCATATCAGACAACGGCACCCAGTTCGAGGCTGCCCCTTTCCAAGAGCTCCTCCGGGAGTTTGAGGTAAAGCATCGTTTCTCCTCCGTCGCCTACCCTTAGGGCAACGGGCAGGTCGAGAACGCCAACAGAACAATCATGGAAGGGTTGAAGAAGAACCTCCAGGCCGCAGGAGGTAGTTGGGTCGACGAGCTCCCCAACATCCTGTGGTGCTACAGGACCACGCCGAGGAGGGCGACAGGTGAAACGCCTTTCGCCCTGTGCTACGGCTTTGAAGCAAAGGCGCCCACGGAAGTTGCCGTCCCCAGCCGGCGGGTGGAACAATATGAGCCTGACACCAACGAAGAGAATATGAAGATTGACCTACACCTGGTTGATGAGAGGCGTGAGCAAGCTTACGTCCGCGCAGAGAACTACTGGCGTCAAGTAAAATCATACTATGACGCCAAGGTACGTTCCCGGGAATTTCAGGTGGGGGACTACGTCCTCCGCCGAAGGGAAGCAAGCCAGCCGACAGAGGGCGGCAAGCTAGCATTGAAGTACGAAGGGCCCTACATCGTCAGTGCCGTGGTCAAACCCGGCACCTACAAGCTTAAACGCCCGAACGGGTCCAATGTACCACGAACATGGAATGTACATCATCTGGTGAAGTTTTATCAGTAATCCGAAGGAGGTGTAGACGGCGAAGCCCTCACCCCTTAACGGGTTACTGATTGGACGCCACCCTCGGCCTCGAGCCACTTATGAATAAAATCATGTTCTGATTTTCTCTGGAATTTAAAGTAAAACATTAGCAGGTGCCCTCGTCGGCCACCTTAGAGCGAAAGGCTCAGGTCTGGCCGACATGGCCCCTTGCATTTGCAGCCTACGAGCGACAAGCTCAGGCACTCCATTGTATTTTGTATCAGCGAAGGGCTCAGGCCTAGCTGAGAGAGCACATCGTCCTGGCCCCGTAAGCCTAGAAGTGAAACGCTCAGGTATGGCCGACGATGTCCCCAGGACGAGGGGCCCGCAAACGGCCCACGTCTTGAAACGGGAAGCTCACCGCGTCGTCCACGCGCCAGATCGCAGAACGACAGGCCTGAAATCATGGCCGAGGTGACAAAATCCCAAAACTCGGGGATGGGCAACGACAGCCGTTGGAAACCAACCAAAAGTCTAGCCCGCGTCATAAATAGGCGACGGGACCCGCCCTGAGACCACGGACGTTATAAACGAAGTCCGAACCGGCCGAAGGACGAGCACACCCTTCGGCCGAAGCCTGAAAGAAGGATACCCCCGAAACAAAAAAAAATAAAAATAAAAAATATATATATGAGGGAAAAAGAGGGAAGCCGACGGCCGCGCACACTTGCCGGCCTCGAGCAAAGAAAAAATAAAATCCCCACAAATTCAGGCCCATTTTGGCCAAGTACATATTAGTTAAACACAAGTGTAGTACCGCTGACAGGAAACATGGACGACACGTCCACACACTACAAACGGAACAATCAAGGCCGATACACACGCCTTTAAAACCCTAACCACATCGGTTGGGTGACACGCGAGAGGTGACCTTCATCGGCCATAGTCCTTTGAGGCACCAACGTTTGGTATGAAACAAAGCATCGCATCCCTGATGATGATCAGGACGAAGCGGGCACTTATCAAGTAATCAAGAAACAACCTCTACTTGCCACAGCACCTTGGATGGCCGACGCAGGCACTGGAACCATAGCTAGCCGACGAATACAGGACCATCTCCTTGGACAAGCTATTCCTTATCCAGCACCCTCATCGGCCACAAGCCAGACCTTAGCCGGCAGTGGCACCGCGAAGAAGTAAATGCCTAACATTTATACTTAGGAAATTATCTAAGTACTCAAATGAAGGAATTCTAGCCGAAGCGGGTACCAGTATACCACAAAGCCGTTAGCTACCTACACCTTCACATGTGTACTTGTGAAAAATTCAAAGTCCACGAGACTATGGTGAAGGTGCCCTTATCGGCCAGAACACAGGGATACAAGCCGACAACGGCCATGGCCAAAACACCTAGGATGAATCCAAGGCCAGGACGATAAGGACGCCAACGCTTGGACGGAACGGACACTACGGTCAAGGCCGAAAGGAAAGCACCTAAGTGGATCCCAAAACACTTAGAAATTTTTTTTTGAAGAAATTCCTAAGTATTATGAAACTACGTCCAAGCCGATCAAGCCACTAGGCCGTAAAGACAGCAGCTACATGGACCCAAAAACACTTGGGAAATTTTTGATTCAAAATCCTAAGTGTTATGACAAAGCAAAGAGGACGACCAGACTACTGGACAGGAAGGCCCACCTTACGGACGTAGCGGACACTCGCGGGTGACCCAAGTTATGACTTGATACTTAGACAATTTACAGAATTGAAATGACAAAGCAAACAAGCATACAAGGGATTCAAGGCCGAAAAGGACAGCAAAAATTTCTTCAATTGATAAACTTCATTACAATTGGGGGGCACTACGGCCGTTACACCACTTGGCAAAATATTGAAACGCTAATTACAAATGAATAGTCTATCAAGCTTCGGGGGCATCACCATCTGCGGCTGTCTCATCGGCCTCATCAGCTCCCCTGCACTTCGCACGAGTCCCTCCCAGCTCTCCAGGCCTTTAGCGAAGCCCAAAATTGGAAAATGGCCCAAAATCAGAAAAACCCAAGTTACTAGCAGTCTAGTCCGCATCTTTCCGCTTCGGCAAAACCCCCAAAGGCCAAATTGCCATTTCCAACCGATGAATCTAGCACTCGGACGTCGCACGCAGCAACCCTCGTCGATCATAAGTTGCTGCCTTTGTGGTCGCATGCAGCACTCGGACGTCGCACAAGGGTGAAGAGTGTTCTGGTTTCTGGCTTTCTGCTCTAATTGGTCTTGCGGGGTAAACTGAGAGGCGTGAGAGCTGCTCTTCGGTGGTAAGCTGAGGCCTGGGATTCTGAGAACTGCTGGTCACGGCTAAGTGGCTAAGAGGTAAGTTTTCAACTCTTTTAGTTTATTGTGCTTTTACTTCAATTTAATTAAAGATTAAATTACAGCTTGCTAATTATGAATTTGATTATTATTTGTAAACTTGCTTATTATGAATTTGATTATTATTTGTAAACTTGTAATCAACATTTATAAAATTATAGTAGTATGAATTTGGTTGTGATTTGTTGTTGTTAATATATTATTAAGTTAATTATTATTAATGTATTAATTAGTCATCGTGTTATTTTCAATAAAGGCAATTAAGAGATATTGAGATATTATGACCCTGTTGAAGTAGGAGTTGGACTTGGTGATCTTGCAGAGAAGTTGATAGAAACTAAGAAGCATAAGGTGTTTCCTTTAGTTTACAAGTTGTTGACATTGACATTGATTCTTCCCGTTTCAATCGCTACTGTTGAAAGTGTATCTTCAACAATGAATATCCTAAAGGATAGGTTGAACAACCGGATGAGTGATGACTGGCTCAATGATGGACTTATTGTTTATGTAGAAACGACATCTTCTTAAAAATCGACAATGATGTCAATATCAAACGATACTAATTGCGGAAAACACGTAAAGAACAGTTGTAACATTATGATGTTTTTGTACTTGAATTTGATGAAAACTCTTATTCCTATAATGTTTATTTTACCGTTCTGTTTAATTTCAATCTTTCTGTTTGATGCTTGAGCTCAGTAGTTGCACTTGGTGGAAACTCGGTCTAGGGCCGAGTAGGCAAGTAGCTATTAGGTTTCTCTGGATTACTCGGCTATATTTTAATAGAAGTATAATATTATTGTCACCAAAGACTAGTAATATGTGAGTCTTAAAATCATTATATACCCAACACGCTCGCACACACACACATGTACAGCAACAAATAATCCATAACAAATGAGGTCTAAAAAGTAAAAAAAAAAAGATTAAAAGCAAAAAGAATATGAACAAGTATCAAATTATCAATAATAAAAAGGGACATTGAGAAGAACTCACTAAGAGAGTCATGCCATTTAAATGGTCTGTAAAATAATCTGTCTGCGCATATTTGTCATGGAGCAGCCGTTAATCCATGCAATTTTCGATGCGATTTTCATCATGAGTCATCCGGAAACAGACTCCTTGTGCTTTAGTACAGGGGTAAGGCTGCGTACATCTAACCCTCCTTACCCCACTGTAGGTGGTAGTCTTTGCTGCAGTGGAGTAATGTTGTTGTTATTGTAGAATTCAATTTTAGCAGACCTAGTTAGTCAGCGTGTAATATGAAACAAAGAGTTGCAGAAGTCGTTTAGTACTCCGTGATTAGCTCAGAATCTTGGAATGAACTAAGTCATTAACCTTGAGTAGCAATTACTCGCCGAATAGATAACTTAGTTTTTGAGTTGCTCATTTTTTGTGATGTTCTGGTGCAGGGATAAAAGATGGTGCAGTATAATTTCAAAAAGATTACCATTGTCCCCAATGGGAAAGACTTTGTTGACATCATCCTCTCCCGTACACAAAGGCAGACTCCAACTGTTGTTCACAAGGGCTATGCAATATCTCGTATCCGTCAGTTTTACATGCGCAAAGTGAAATATACAGTCAAACTTCCATGACAAACTCTCCACTATTATTGAGGAGTTCCCCAGGCTTGATGATATCCATCCTTTCTACGGTGACCTCCTCCATGTCCTTTATAACAAAGACCATTACAAGCTTGCACTTGGCCAAATAAATACAGCAAGGAACTTAATTTCCAAGATCGCAAAGGATTATGTCAAAATGTTGAAGTATGGTGATTCTCTCTACCGATGCAAGTCTTTGAAGATTGCTGCCCTGGGACGAATGTGTACCGTGATTAAGCGAATCACACCCAGTCTGGCATATCTTGAGCAAATTAGACAGCACATGGCTAGGTTGCCTTCGATCGATCCAAACACTAGGACACTTTTGATTTGTGGGTACCCTAATGTCGGTAAGAGCTCTTTCATAAACAAAATTACAAGAGCAGATGTTGACGTGCAGCCTTATGCGTTCACCACAAAGTCCTTGTTTGTGGGTCACACTGACTACAAATACCTTAGGTATCAAGTCATCGACACTCCGGGAATATTGGACAGACCATTTGAGGATCGCAATATCATAGAGATGTGCAGCATTACAGCTTTAGCCCATCTTAGAGCTGCGGTTTTATTTTTCCTAGATATATCAGGATCTTGTGGTTATAGTATTGAACAACAATCTGCTCTGTTCCACAGTATAAAGTCTCTCTTTATGAACAAACCCTTGGTCATAGTTTGCAACAAAACTGATTTGCAGCCTTTGGATGGGATATCAGAGGAAGACAAGAAGTTAGTCATGCAGATGAAAGAAGAAGCTATGAAGACTGTCATTGGACAAGGTGGGGAGGCCACAGACGACCAAGGTGTGCTTTTGACTATGAGTGCTTTAACTGAAGAAGGTGTGATTTCCGTGAAGAATGCTGCTTGTGAGAGGCTGTTGAACCAAAGAGTTGAAGTCAAGATGAAGTCTAAGAAGCTAAACGACTGCTTAAACCGTTTTCATGTCGCCATGCCCAAACCATGTGACCAGAAAGAAAGGCCTGTGTGCATACCTCAGGCAGTGCTGGAAGCGAGAGCAAAGAAAGCAGTGGAAGTTGCAGAGAAAGAGAAGAAGAAGCTTGAGAGGGATCTTGAGAATGAGAATGGAGGTGCAGGTGTCTACTCTGCCAAATTGAGTAAGCACTATATCTTGGCGGATGATTCTTGGAAAGATGATGTCATGCCAGAGATTCTCGATGGGCACAATGTGTTTGACTTCATCGATCCTGACATCTTGCAACGGCTTGAGGAGTTGGAGAAAGAAGAAGGGCTTCGGCAAGAACAAGGAGATGAAGGTGTCTTGGAGATGGAAGGTGGTCCGGAGCTGACATCTGAAGAAAAAGCCACCCTGGCTGAGATCAGGAAAAGGAAGAGTCTGCTGATCCAACAGCACCGTATTAAGAAAAGTACGGCCGAAAGCCGACCAACCGTTCCAAGGAAGTTCGATAAGGATAAAAAGTATACGTCAGAGAGGATGGGCAGGCAGTTGTCTGGTCTGGGACTTGATCCAACCCTTGCGGTCAAACGTGCACGCAGTAAGTCAAGGGGACGTAAGAGGGAACGATCTTTATCTGGCATGGGTGACTCGATGGATGTTGATGGTGATGAGGAGACTCCTAACAAGAAGAAGTTGAAGTTGATGCTGTCTAGGTCCAGGTCAAGGTCCAGGTCAAGGTCAAAGTCGAGGCTTCCAAATGAATTGGTGCCTGGTGAAGGATTCAAAGACACTGCACAAAAGTCTAAGGCTATTGATTTGGCTAAGAACTCTTTCAAGGTGCGGAACAAGGCAGCCTGCAAGGGTGAAGGTGATAGAACTATTCCTAATCTGAAACCAAAGCACTTGTTTTCTGGCAAGCGTTCTAACGGAAAAACACAAAGGCGTTAAGGTATGTTACAGTTTTTCATATCTCCTTATCATGTTCAAGTATGTGTAATCTCAATCATTCCAGTCTTTATTGTAGGGTAATGTTATGATGATTCAGTGTTCTTCCTGGTCATAAATAGACACTACTAAATTATACTCCGTATAACTGACAAAGTCCAGCATCACATGAATCTTTAAATTTAACTTTTCCTTACACTAGAAAGAATTATTGCAGGTATACGAGGTTCTGATGAAGTTGTGCAATTTTTTGGAGTGTTGTGTATCTCAGCTTGTTGTTCTGCGGAGTCGGATTGGATCCACCGAATACTCCTCTCTTTTTGGTTTTGCATGTTATTTAGTGTTGCTTCTTATGTTTCTGTTTTTGCCGCTCCATATAATGTTCATTTTTGTTATTTTTCAAGGGATTAAGTTTTTACCTTTTTCTATTTTGACTGGTGTCGTTTGTTTTGAAAGAATGACGAAGATAAGATATTTAGAGTTTAATTAAAGACACAAATATGATACTTATCCAACAACAAAGTGACCATAAAACTTGGCTCTATATCTATTAAATTTCTCTCTGCAAAGGCCCAACATACATCCAAATAGGGTTGGACTAGGTCTGGTTCGGGATTTGGGCGGGACCGGGTTTGGGAAATGAAGGCCTGGTATTGGTGCGGGTTGATTCCGGGCCTGGGTCGGGTCTAGGAAATAAAGGCGCAGTTTGCTTTGTTGGGAAATTCACAGCAAACTGCTTACCGTTTGTAAATTTCATTTTTTTCTTAAAATATGGGAATTCCCAACACTTCAAGCAAAAAACGGGACTTTTTAGGGGATTTCTAGAAGGAAAAATTCACAGGAAAAATCCCAACTATTAGAGGTCTTCTAATATTAATCCCAAGTACAAGTAATTCTAGAATAATCTCAAATTTATGTGTAGTCTTCTCAAATTGATCCATGTTACCCATTACTTGTTCAACCGGTAAACAAATTAAAAGAAAACGAAAAGAAGCTGAACAATCGGTTTCTTCCTCTTCACTAAACTATTAATGCTTCCTTTCCTGCTTCCTTCGTCTCTAATAGTTAGATTTCTCACCATTTTCAAATTTTCTTTTCTATTCTTTTTACTCCCCCTCTACTGCATAAGTAAATCTCTTTCCCACCTTCCATTTCGTTCTCAAATTTGCTTCAATCATTCAATTTCATACTTGGAAAGTTTAATTTCGTCAATCTAACTCAATGATGAATGGCCAACAATGATAAAGTTTAATTTCGTCAATGCAACTCAATCGCGGCCGGTGATAAAACTTGAATAATGAACGACCGTCGATGGAGATTGGACCGGCTGGGATGAAGGAGGGTTAGCTATGAAGAACAGTTGGCATGGAGTCATGGACGGAGGAGGGTCAGCATGGAAGAACAACTCCAAGGGACGAAGATGAAAACGGACAGTCGTTGAGGTAAATCCAGTCGGCCGTTGAAGATCTGGCCTTGATGGCCAGGATGGAGCAAAACACTCAGTACGCCCGATATGAGGAAAAGAAAAAGGAAAAGAAAAAGGGAGAGAAAAAGGAAAAAAGGAAGAAAAGGTAATAGAAGAAGATGAGACTAGATAGGAGAAATTAAAATAAAAAATAAAATGTGAAACAAGAAGAGGAAAGTTATCAGATGCGTGAATGAAAAGAACTTAAAGAAGAATATGAAACATAGCAGGTAGGTATGGACTTGGGCCGGTCCGGTTCCGGGCCGGGCCCGGGCGGGCTTTTTTTGTTGAATGATGGGCCCGGAACTGGCTCGGGGTGATATCGGGTCCGGTCCGGGTCGGGCCTACCCGGCGGGGTTGTGGGCCGGTTCGGGCCGGGCCGGGCCCGGGCTATTTTTTTTTTAAATTCAGATTAGTTGGGCATAAAAATTTAAACTGTATTAATTTAAACAATTAATTTCGAATTAACTAGTTTAACAATTAACTAGTTTTTATAGGAGATTAATAAATGTAGCAATGAACTTTTATGATAAGAGATTAATAAATCTAACAAACTAACTAATTTAACAATTAAATAATTAATTTCGAATTAACAACTAACTACTATGATAAGAGATTAATAAATGTAACAATTAGATAATAAGTGTATAAGTAGATATACTTAATATATATATATATATATATATATATATATATATATATATATATTTATAAGTAGATAATAAGTAGATTAACTAGTAATATATAATATTATGTTTATAGTATATATAATATAAGTATATTACTATAAGATTAGTAATACACTTATATATAATACTTTAATATATATAAGGATATATTAAGTCTATCCATTTTACATCCAGCGAAATCCGCATCAGTGAATGCTATCAGATCAAATGCAGTCTCCTTAGGATACCAGAGTCCTAAATTAGGAGTTTTTTCAGATAACGTAGAATTCTTTTCACAGCAAGCAGATGGGATTCCTTTGGATTTGCTTGAAAGCGAGCACAGAGACAGGTAGCAAACATAATATCAGGTCGACTCGAGGTCAGATACAGCAACGAACCAATCATTCCCCTATAAGTGGTAATATCAACATGCTTTCCCGATGGATCAGTATCAAGTTTACATGCAGGAGTCATCGGGGTTTTCACAGGGGTGCTGTTCTCTTGACCGTCTCTGTAGCAAATCATGAATGTACTTGGACTGATGAATGAAAATTCCGTCAGACAATTGTTTAACTTGTAGTCCAATAAAGAAATTCATTTCACCCATCATGCTCATTTCGAACTTAGATTGCATCAGACTTCCAAATGCAGTGCATAGTGCTGGATCAGTGGAGCCAAAAATGATGTCGTCAACATAGATCTGAGCCAAGATGATGTCAGACCCATGACGCTTGATAAAGAGAGTAGTATCAATTGTTCCTTTAGAAAAGCCAGAATCAACCAGGAAATCAGACAGTCCGTACAATGCTTTATCCAGTCGATAAACGTGATCAGGATATTTCGTACTGATGAAGCCTTCTGGTTGATCCACATAAACTTCTTCTTTCAAGATCCCGTTCAAGAATGTTGTTTTGACGTTCATTTGATAGATGGTGAAGTTCTTGTGTGCCGCATAAGCCATGAACAGTCGAATGGCTTCAATGCGTGCTACTGGAGCGAACGTCTCATTGTAATCAATACCTTCTTGTTGATTGTAGCCTTTCACAACTAATCGGGCCTTGTTGCGAATCACAATCCCGTCTTCATCCTTATTGTTCTTAAATATCCACTTAGTGCCTATGATTGATTTTCCAGGGGGCCGAGGCACAAGTGACCAGACTTTCAGTCTTTCAAACTGATTGATTTCTTCTTGCATGGAGATTATCCAATCAGGATCAGCTAACGCTTCAGTGACATGAGTAGGCTCAGTTTGACTAAGAAAACAAGAAAACAGACATTCATTCTCGGTGGCAGATCGTGTGCACACTCCACTTGAAGGATTTCCAAGTATGAGATCAGGTGGATGAGCAAGTGTCCATTTACTCACATGAGGGAGTGGTTGAGCATTATTGTTGGGTTGCTGATCAACAAAAGGGTTATCAGCAAGAGGAACAAATGAAGATCTAGGATCAGTGGGCGCAGGTGTTGAAGTTTCAATCTCAGTTGTGGTTGCATAAGTTGATGAAGTTGATGCGGGGGAAGGAGTTGCAGCTGTAGATATTGTAGTAGCGGGTGGAGAAGATGGATCGTGTGGTTGTGGATTCTCGTAAATTTGATCAAACAGGTGATCGAGATCCATGGAGTTAGAATCAGGTGAGGGAGATAAGGCGGGTAGTTGTGCTAGAACGCCAGTGATATCAGGTTCTGAACTGATGTGTCCAGAAGCATGTTCTTCTTTCTTGTCAAAGGTCACATTGATGCTTTCAATGACCTTCTTTTTGTCTCTGATGTACACTCTGTAAGCTTTGGATGACGAAGAATAGCCAATGAACAAGCCTTCTATTACTTTTGGATCAAACTTACCTCGTTCTTCCCTATCATTCATGATGAAGCACTTGCACCCAACACTCTTAGAAAAGAAACACTGGGAATCCGGCGGTTGATCAGCTCATATGGTGTCTTTCCAAACCTTTTGTGAATAGAGGTCCTGTTCTGAGTGAAGCAGGCAGTGTTGATAGCTTCAACCCAGAGAGAATGTGGAAGTTTGGAATGGATCAGCATGGTTCTTGCAGCTTCAACAAGTGTTCTGTTCTTTCTTCCAACCACCCCTTTCTGCTGTGGGGTCTTTGCTGCAGAGAATTGCTCAATGATGCCTTGAGTCTCATAGAATTCACTGAGTTTCTGATTCTTGAACTCAGTGCCGTTGTCAGATCGTATGAAGAGAATTGTTGCTTGTAGAAGATTCTGTGTTGTTCGGATGAAGGTGATGATGATGTCAGTTGTCTCGTCTTTGGAGCAAAGGAACCGGTTTCATGTGTATCGTGAATAGTCATCTACTATCACTAGTACATACTTCTTCACATTGATACTTTGTGTTCACATGGGCCCACAAAGATACATGTGAAGCAATTCAAGAGGACGTGTAGTAGATGCTGTTATTTTTGCCTTATTCAAGATACATGCTTTTCATTTTTCCAAGTGCGCAAGAATCGCACAGATGTTCACATTTGCTTTGTAGTGTTAGTAGACCAGTAACAAGCTTCTTTGATGACAATGTGTGCAGATCACGGTAGTTCAGATGAGACATCCTCTTATGCCACAGTTGATTTAGTTCAGAGGACGCCCTAGACAGCAGGCAGACATCTGTATTGGGAAACACTGTTTTCAGCACAATGGTGTAGAGACCAGATTTGCGTCTACACCTTAGAATGGTGTTTCCTTGTTCATCCTTCACACAACACTTGTTAGCCCGAAATATGACTTTCATGCCCTTGTCGCAGAATTGTCCGATGCTAAACAAGTTGTGTGTTAATCCGGCAACATATGAGACGTCTTTAATAGTGACCCTGGTGTTGCAGATATCTCCAAATCCAAGAATAGGAGCAGAGTCACTGTTTCCAAATCTAACTTTCCCACCAAACTTGTGATGAATCGTTTTACAGAATGTAAAAAGATTTCTGAATTTTTAATGTTTATACAAAACATTCATATTTTTATTTATAAAAATAGTACTCTGTAATATATATCAAAAAGTTGCTAAAACTAACTTGAATAAGTGATGCGTAGTACTCCGTAACATATTTGGTTCAAGTGTGTTATCACACAACTTGTGTTAAAAAGAAAAACACAGCTAATTTGGCACTCTATATATTATCCATGTACATTTACCGATTAATCCTTCAATATACTAAAAACTAAAAAGTAACCTGAGGTGGGTGGGTGTAGCTCATCTGGTAGATAGAAGCTGCCACAAGGGGTAAGTCACGAGTTCGAATCCCGCCAACTGCGCTGAGAGGTTATTATGAGAAAATGAATACGGCGTCTGTAATACCAGGACCAGAGCCCAAATAAAATTTTGGGCGGGAAATAATTTAAAAAAAAATCTCTCTTTTGTACGGAGTATACAGATAG